AGATAGATAGATAGATAGATAGATAGATAGATAGATAGACAGACAGACAGACAGACAGACAGACAGACACCAATCCTTGAACCAGGATACATCTCTAATATAATACCAGCATTTTATTGCTTTTCTCACCCTTACTGGAAGCATGAAGTTCTTTCCAATTTCACCGCCTTAAAAAAAAAGGATGAAATACTTCCACTTGACAGCAAGGGAAAGATAAGTTGCCTTAAACTTCTCTCTTGATGCTACATGGCATCAAATATGTTATTTTAGTAACAGGAGCAGCAGCAGCAGCAATTACCATATAACACTTTTGTGGCGTTTTCTACCATCTCCAAAAGGTTACAACTGAGATGACTGGGGTATAGGAAAAACTTCCTAATAGCACATAATTTCAATCTGGATTGAATTTCCAATTTTTTGTTTGTTTGTTTATGGGAAAAAGTGATAGCAATTAGGGGTATCCTTAACCAAATATAAAGCCTGATTCGAACATAATTTTAACAGGATTGTTAAAATCTATATTTTAACTAACAGGGTTAGTTTTTTAAATCCATATTTCCTACATTCAAGAAATAACTCTGGGTAAATTGAACTCTCATTCACCTTACTTGGCATGAAAAATGTAACGGTTTGAAATTACAACAACAAATATTTTGATTAATTAAGAGATTCTCCTCCCAGATTTAACAATGGAAGAGGCTGCCTACTTTTCCAAAATCTCTGTATTTTGAGATTTTTAGCAAAAGCGCAGATAGACATCACCTAAGACTAGGCTATCTACATCAGGTGACAGCCTGAAGCTGATCTTGGGTTAACTATAAAAACTAAGGAGAGTCAGACTAGGAAAAGGCTAGAAAAGCAGCAAAAAATGTAGGATTATAGGCTAGACTGGGAAACATTAAATCCTCCAGAGCACAGCAATGGCCAAACCACTTCTATATACTATTGTCAAGAAAACTATGTGAACATGTTTATGAAGTCACCATGAATCATACTCAACCAAAGGGAAATAAAAAACATTTCATTTGGGGCATTTGGGAATTCCTTCAGACATGTTGTTCTGTTATAACGCTGTACCAAGCATTCTGCTTTTCAAGACTATTTTGAATGACTGGGAAATACATGGGGCATCTTGCCCATCTGGTCTTACTGTTCAGGTTTGTCCAGAAGCTTAACTTCTTCTTCTGTTGAAGTGTCATAATGCTGCTTTATTTTTTCCAGTTCATCCTTCTGTGCTCTCTGTAGATTCAGTGACAAAAATAACAGTGAGATTATCTTACTTCTACTTTTGGAAGTATGAAAGATTGAATTAGCTTCAATAAGTGTAGTTGGTTACAATCAAAACTGAGATCATCTTACATTTGTCTGGTGCAAAGATTGGACTTATTTAAAAATACAAAGAAAAATATATCCAACATAAACTTCTAAGCTGTTTCTGACTTACAAGAAAAAAAAATGTCTTCTATGACCCTATTTCTCCTCCTAGATTGAGCCAGTTACAGTATTTGTAAAATCTTCTGTTCTGTTCTACACACTACTGACAACATACATAAACTTTGAATACACTGATGCCTGAATAACAAATAAGTTACTCTATGATATATATTTTAATTCATTGCCATAAATATGGAAACATATAAACTTTAGTTTGGAAATGTTGATAAATTGATGAGCTTGTACAATGATAGGGTTTATATAATAATAATTCAAGTAATTAGATTTCTTAAGTTTCCTATTAAAAAGGAACTATTTTTTCCTCTTTTATTCTTTTCAAATGTGATTAAAGATATCTATTAATCAAATCATCCAATTCCAATGTTTTATTATTTTAAACAATGTTGTTTTGTAACAAAACAGAGAAACAACTTCAGCCATCATTTAAGAAATTGGGATACTTAAACCATAATGCATAGGTGTATTGATATCTGTTGCTCTATTAAGGTATTGTGACTTAGTGCATGTACTTAATTTTACACAAAGTGACCAGTGGTGAAATTCAATTTTTTTTACTACCGGTTCTGTGGGCCTGGCTTGGTGGGCATGGCAGGGAAAGGATACTGCAAAACTCCCATTCCCTCCCCACTCTGGGGCCAGCCAGAGGGGGTATTTGCCAGTTCTCTGAACTACTCAAAATTTCCGCTACCGATTCTCCAGAACCTGTCAGAACCTGCTGAATTACACCCCTGAAAGTGGCCCAATCTGATTTATGAACACCTTTTCCAGTGCTGAAGGCTGTGAAGGTCTGGATTGGGGCTGAACAGGATTCAGCTTAACCCTGGGAAAATGAGTGACTATGGGTTTTAAGGGTGCACCTGGCTCCAGTGATTTTCCATCAGAAGGTGCACTTCCCCGGTTAGAGTCAGTGAATGATTTAGGGCTACTGCTTGATGAACAGGTAACAACTATGGCTGGGGAGAAAGACTGTCATTGTGGTTTTGATTACCGTAGTGTGCTGTACATAGGAATGCCCCAGAAGAATAGTTGGAAGCTGCAGCAGGTTCAGAATGCAGTCTTATGGGCAGTTTTTGATGTTTTGTATTACAATCATATAATGCTGCTGTTTTGTATGCTGAACTGACATTTAATAGGCTTTTTGGTGAAAGATAATGGTCCAAAGCCTTGTGCCAAAGGGAGAGATTCATCTGGTTTTACTTCTAACCCTCAAATAAACTATCAGCATTACTTACATTTTCATATAGTGCTTCCAATGTTTCTAGGTCAACTACTGAATCATCCATATTTAGTACAGCTGTTGAAATAATAAAATAACACATTAATATGTTAACTGACTTTGTTGCTTATCTGTTGCCATGAACTGAAAACACTTGGATAATGTTTCTTTTTCGGTTGAATACTTCTTGTAAGCTGCCAATGTCATAACTCTCCCCAAATAATCCACTGTAAAAAAAAAAGAAGGCTACATTTCTCTATTTTTAAAAATACATATTTTACTGACCATCTGCGCTGGAGATTGGATCAGTAGGATACATACTAGGTGATTATATGATTTACAATGCAGCAGACAGCATAAAATGGCACAAAACCAGACAAAAATATTGTGATTCTCTAATCACTTATTATAGCAATAGCAATAGCAGTTAGACTTATATACCGCTTCATAGGGCTTTCAGCCCTCTCTAAGCAGTTTACAGAGTCAGCATATTGCCCCCAACAATCCGGGTCCTCACTTTACCCACCTCGGAAGGATGGAAGGCTGAATCAACCCTGAGCCGGTGAGATTTGAACAGCCGAACTGCAGAACTGCAGTCAGCTGAAGTAGCCTGCAGTGCTGCATTTAACCATTGCGCCACCTCGGCTCTGAGTCTTTTATGAGTCTTTATAGGCAAGAATTCACTCTGAACCAATGATATATTAATATGCTCTGTACAATTCTAAGCATTTTTACTCAGATATTTAATGTCACTAAATTTATTCCATGATCAATACATTTAGTTTGATCATTATTAATTATGAGATAATAATTAGTAACATGCTTAATATTAATGAAATAGAAGCAGAAGTGAGTTCAAGTCTCATTCAAGTTCAAGCCATGAAAGCCAACTGGGTAACTTTGGGTAAATCACTCTGTCTCAGCCCAACCTACCTCACAGGGTTGTTGTAGAAGGGGAAAGGTGTATTGATATGTTTGCTCCCTTGAATTATTTGTACAAGTATCAAAGATGGGATATACTGTAAATAAATAAACATATACATCGTTGCCTTATCTTATCTGCATATTGCACAGATAGGTTACTTAAATATCATTTGCATGTAAAATGTTCTTTATTAGAAACTCAGAGTTGTATGAGAAATACAACATGAGAAATAAGAATGAGAAATAATCCTGATGTTTTACCCTTTCTTGCTGACTGTTCTTTCCCCGACTTTGTGGGATATAGATCACCTTCTCAGTTTGAGACATCATTCACAATAGAAGTTACCTAATATCTCTATTATTTTGAAAAAAATGTATACCCCTCCCCCAAATAATCAATCTGAAGGACAATTTTTCTATTAATAGAGGCTTTGCATATAATAGAGCTTTCATTGTTCTGAAAAGGTGAAAAAGTAGAATTTAATGTAAAATGTGCACCTCTATTAATCGAAATATTTGCTATTGTAATTTTTAAACCATTACCTTTTTATGCCAAGTGAGGTGAATGAGAGTTCAAGTTACCCAGAGTTATTTCTTGAATATAGAAAGTATAGATTTAAAAACTAATCCTGTTAGTTAAAATATAGATTTTAACAATCCTGTTAAAATTAAGTTGGAATCAGGCTATATAAATTGTTTATATAAATAATTATACATTGGAATGGTATGATTGTCTTATCCCTTTCCTACTTGCCCAGTACATGGGAGTCCCCAATTGCACCATCTGAGGTGCAAGGCACTTTTTCAAATGTGGTATTTGTTGAAAAATCAGGTGACTTTCCCTGCTATTTCTAAATTCCTGGGTCACCTATCAATAAAATAATCTCTAGATAGATAGATGAATGTGTTTCAGCAGATGTAAATTGCATTGGAATGGATGTTTACTGTAGGAGATGACTAGGCTGAGTCCAAGGGCGGGGTCAAATACCCCTTCAATTTGGAGTCCCTTTGCACCCACTAAGTCCATCCTCTGTGAATTCTGTTGACTCTTATCTAGCCAATTTAATCTAACCAATTTCGTTGTATTTAAGTACAATGACAATAAAGATTATACCTAGTGCCAATTTGCCTTGACTATTAGTCAGTTAGATTCTTTTGTATATGTAGCATGTAATAAACTTGAAGTGCTTTGAACTCAATTCCTGTTCCTGGTTGCTTACGAGTGAATTTACATTGAATATATGAGCGTTATGAAATTACATGCACTTATATAAGGTAATCCATATTCAGTCATACTTTTTTTCTGTATAACAAATTGATTAATTTATGGACCCATTACTGCAGAATGATCCCATGGTATGTACTATTGTAATGACCAGAACATCAGTTACCTCAGGAACAACCTGATCATTATTCCTTCAGGCAGAGCCAGTAAAAAGCATTTCTGCTGAAGGCTAATTTAATTGCATTTGGATTGGGGCATTTCTTTTAAACTGATGTACCTTTCAAAAATAAAGTGAAGCTAAGCTATCTTAGCAAACATAAAATGACTATATTGACAGAAAGTTCTCCTAGTAAAATAATCTTACATTTTAATTAACTGCAGAGCAGTATTGACCAAAACTTTTTTTTTTTGGCAGTTGGCCTGACACATTTAGAAGTTAGGCCCTGAAATGACTACTGAAATCTTATTTTGTATTTACAGTAATCTTGGTGACCTTTTCTTCTGACAGCTTGATTTGAATATGCTATATAGACTTCATAAAGGGAGAAAAAAATCCACAAGATGTGAGAAGCCAGTAATTTTAATGGATATGGATTAACCATAGTCTGGTTTCTGAACTCCTTGCCTGTAGGGCAATTGGAATAAACATTTTTATATGGCTCTATGGTGTTTGTTCACCATTCATAATGAGTTATATAGGTAAAGGTAAAGGTGTCCCCGCATATGCGAGCTAATTGTTTCCAGCTCCGGGGAGTGGTATTCATCTCTGTTTCTAAGCCAAAGAGCCAGCGCTGCCTGAAACGTCTCCGTGGTCTTGTGGTCAGCATGGCTAAATGCCGAAGGCGCACAGAGAGCTATTACCTTCCTACCAAAGAGACACCTTTTTCCTTCAAAAAAGAGGCTGAAAATCTGGGTGCATCTTATACACTGAATACAGCACTTTTTGCCTCCAGAAACCCTGCCCCGTTCACCAAAATGGCCGTGCATAGCTTTTAGAAGGCTTTCAGAGAGCTCCTGGGGGCTGGGGAGGGCAGAAATGAGCAAAAATGGACCCTTATTTGCTCAATTTTGCCCGCCCCCAGGAGCAGTCTATAAGCCTTCTAAAAGCTATCCATGCCCTTTTTTGGACCAAAAAACGGGCCCGTTTTTGTGAAAAGCAGCCTGGTTTTTGCTCAGTTTTGGCCCCCTACCCCTCCAGGAGCACTCTACAAGCCTCCTAAGAGCTATTCATGCCCTTTTTAAAAAACAAAACAGGGACTTTTGACGAAAAACGGGCTGTTTTGGGGAGGTTTGCAGAGGGCAAAAACTTTTTTTTTTAAATTTGCCTCTTCAAAACCTTGGTGTGTCTCATACTGTGGTGCATCTTATACTCCGAAAAATATGGTACATAAGGATAATTAGTGTAGTATTGCCCCCACTAACACATAATGACTGTCAGCATCTATAAAAAGCAGATCAATATCACAAATTCAAAAACAGACATAAAAATACTTGGCAGCTGTATTTCACAAGAAGGCAATATGAACAGCATATACTTCTCAAGTGATTTGTCCGAGTATACTAATAGAAGGACATTTTAATTGCAAACTTTCACTATTTTCCTCTAAACCCAAAACAAAAAACATGGATAAGAAACGAATAGACAAGAATTAAAGTTTACTATACACTCATTCAAAAGGAAATAACATTTTAAGGTTCTGTAATTTTAAGAGCTATAAATATCATTTAAAATATGTGGTTATCTACAACTAGCTCCCCAAACTGGAGTCCACATGTCTTAGTCTATAATTTACATCAGAGCTAGAGTCAAGTCAGAAAAATCTTTGCCAAAATATTTGGTTATCCGCAGCTTCCAAGACTTGATACGGTCAATAAACTAATTGGTAATTCTAACAAAACTATTATTAATCAAACTCAGAAAAACAGAAACCAGCACCAGAGATACTTCTCCCCACATGGCAATCAAAGAAGAAACAGTGACACTAATCAACACATCCTGTCCAAACTTGTGTAAGGCTCATAGGACCAGTTCTATTATTAAATATTAAATTCTGAATGAGCAAAATATGCAAAAGAAATTCAGTTAATGACTTCAGATGCATTTTAATAACATAGTACCACTAAACGTTACTTCTACTATTTTACTGTTTTATAAAAAAATGCTCTAACACAGCAATCTATTTTAGACACAAATGTGGGCTTAATTGCTGGGAATAACTCAGTAGCTTTATAAAATCATAAGCAAAGATTGAGGCAATACGCTTATATTGTGGGAAAGAGCAGGCAGGTGAGTGGGAAACCTTCATAATTTAATCTCAGCTGATCCACAACAAGAATAATAATAAAAGGTTCTGGCAAATCTTTTGGAATGAACAGTTCTTAAAAATGTCCAAATACTGTTAAATAGCATTTTAAAATTTCATATTAAGTATCAGTTTGAAACAAGAAGAATTATAAGGTGATTTCTTGTCAACAGGGAAATAATAGAGAATCATTTTGAGAAGACAATAAACTGAGAATGAAGCACCTACTGCATTACACATCTCATTTTACCAGACATGAACTCTATTTTAAACTGACCTAGAACTATTTTCATGTTTTTTATGATTCAGAAGTCAAATCAAACTATAAAATTACTATGTACTCTCTTTATCTAATATTATTCCCTTTAAACAAGACAGGCAGCACTGATCTACCTTTCTATTAACAACAAATGCCATTCTCTCTCTTAAGAAACATCTGTGGCTGATTTTCCCCCCCACAAATGTGGCAGTCTTCAATTTGTTGGCTGGTAATCAAATGCAAACGTAAACATCTGTCTCCCAGATGTATGGAACAACATATTGCTTAACTATATAGAAATTGTGAAATATGTCAGTTCCTGGCTTATAGATGACTGGAAGTAGAAAAGTGTCAGGAAAAAAAAGAAAACTACCCTTAAGAATTCCCCTTTTAAAAATTTATTTTAGATGTGTTAGGTTTCCACAGCAAACTTTAGTTTTCTTAAAGATTAATTTCACATAATTCCACCTATAACTTTCACATGTACTAGATATTTATCACTAAGCCAACTGTGATTTGAGAGCAGAATCTTCTATATATATAAACATGGCTGTGTGTGTATACGTTCCAGTATAACTCTGGAATGCCTTGAACAATTTCAACCAAATTTGGTACACAGATGACCTACTCTCTGGAAACAAAATACTGTGGGGATAAGACACCTCTAACATCCCTCGGGGTGTGTGTGTTCTGTTAAGATACAGCCTGTTGTACCTTAAAATGGCTTCTACTGTACAGCACAGTGGAGTTGCCATGATAATGGCTTCACAGTACTCCACAAGGGTAAGGAGGAGTACTACCCCTTTGGTAAGGGGGAAAATCCAATATTAGAAATTATGTTTGATCTGGACATTTGTGAATGTCTAATACAGGATTGGGATAAACAAATATCTGGCAATGTCGGGTTAACAGCTAGTACTTTTTAAAACATAAACTATATGGAAAAGCCTGGAGACAACTTCAAGTAGAGCCAAGAATTTCTGAATTTCAGTTATATGTGAAAAACAGTTGCAGAAAATAATAATTATGAGTTGTGTTTTTTTCAAGGCAATTTGGCTAATCTCCAGAGGACAGGATGCTCTCAAGATGTGATCTTGCTGTAGACCAGCGGGGATCTTCTGATGGTAGGGAAAAGGTACATATTGAATAACTATTACCTATAACTGAAAAAAAAATGTAATAAACGTTCAACAGAGTATTATGTGTGATATAACATTTATATATGGATATACTGAGTCAAGTTATTAAAGGGATATAAAATTTAAAAAATGTTCATGCATATCATTTCCATTGAAATAAAAACAATGCTTACCTTGTTCTATGTCCTTCATCTCCAGATGTAAACTAGATATCAGAATTCCTACAGTTTGAGATCTCTTCCCATCCAATAATTTGATAATCTGGAAATAAAAATAGCCAACCAAGTAAAAAAAAACGAACATTATATTTATAGCTTTCTATATTAATCTAGTAACTAAATGCCAATTATCACAACCTTTTTAGATTCATCAATATTTATTCATTCATTCATATATTTAATGGATAAAGCCCATAATTTTTAATTTGTTCTGACAAAATGCAATATTACCTCTGCACAATTTAGAAGTTATGCAATCCTAATCTAACATGAATGATTTTCAAGGTATTTTAATAATGCCACTTTTTATACTTATTGGTTAGAGAAATCAAAGGGGATATATATATATATATATATATATATGTGTGTGTGTGTGTGTGTGTGTGTGTGTGTGTGTGTGTGTGTGTGTGTGTGTGTGTGTATAGACATGCCATATACTTAATTCTTTCACTGAAATTAGTATATTTTAGATTTAAGTTTGTCTAAAACTTAGTTTCATTATTAACATATACAGTAAAAATGCAGTAAATGAAAAATCGAGAGAATTAATAGAAATAAATGACTAAGTGAGAACAAATTATTGGCTGGATGTCTTTTTTCTTATTAAGTAAAGGAACCTTGGAGTAAATATTTTCACATGGAAAGTTTTACCATACATCTTTCTGAAGATATACAAGTTACACAATGAATGTGACAATAGGTTAATGTCTAATAGAGGTAATAATTGTCTAAAGTAGGGTACAATTTGTATAGCGCTTACTGACTTTGAAACAGATCTTTTTAAAAGAAACTTCTTAGGCTTTCATAAACTTCATTAGGCATGCCTAATATTTGAAGTAAAATCTTTCCTGAATGTACTTTTATTGTGATGCTTCTTAGGGGTGAAATTCAGCAGGTTTTGACAGGTTCTGGAGAACTGGTGAACCGGCAAATACTACCTCTGGCTGGCCCCAGGAGTGGGGAGGGAATGGGGATTTTGCAGTATCCTTCCCCTGCTACACCCACCAAGCCACAGCCACAGAACTGGTAGTAAAAAAAATTGAATTGCACCACTGACGCTTCTGCAAATCGTTAAGTATGCCCCAGAGTTAGATCAGAATGAACTCACATAGCTCTCCCCCTATATCCCATTTAAAATTGCAAATAACTATTGTGGGTTATTTTTAACATAATTTTAAAACCACAGATGTTGATTTCAGAATAACTGAAGGTCAAAAGGAAGAGCTTGTTAGAACCAAGATACAGAACTCTTGCAACGCTAACATGGTTCGGTATTGTTGTGCAAAAAAATAAATTAACAACTAAAAACAATTTCACAACAGTTATGTAACTTCATTACATAACTGTTAGCAATTAGAAGAATAATTTCCCTGTATTACAGCAGCACAATAGCAATTTGTAGAAATATAACAGTATTAAAATCACATAGTCTATAAATAACTTCACATCTGAAAAACAACTTGTTACAAATCTACAGAATGCAAGTGCTGATATATAATAAACTGCCTAAAGAATATCTTTTAAGTCACGTATTAAGGAACAGGGAGTTTAGAAAATGGTTGAATAAATAAATACTTTTGAAAAATTGTGTGACATCTGGCAATAATCCTACATTATAAAAGCTGCTGAAACTCACAGCAAGGTTACTCTGGTCAAATTCTGGTATAAAACGTTGATGCAGACTTCTCAAATTGTTTTTAGAAATACCATGAAATAGTAATTTATAATATTTCATAATTATGAAACAAGCAATAAACCTGATGACATTCTCTTAAAATATAAAAATGTTCCTCATTCAAAATATTGACATTCACTGTAAATGAGAACATGTGTTACTAATTATATAAAGCCAGTTAGAGGCAGAAAACCCATTATCTTCTGTCACTGATATAGTAATGGCCTGCACTAAAAAGCTGCAAATGATGGATGGAGCCTTATTTATATCATGCAGGTGACACAAATTATCCCCTTTCTTTGTACAAAGAAAGTATAATAGCCTCAGTTTGGTAATGTTAGGTTCCATAAGAGAAACTGGCATATGGCAAATAATAAACGTCTGCAAAATTGAGTTATTTAAATTTCAAAAAATATTATCTGAGAAATGTATTTGACAATTTTCAATCAACATTTCAGGTAATAACCACACCGAAAACACATATACTTTCTCACAACAGAAGGTGAATAGCAGATATGCTTTCTTAAGGCCTCATTACAATATATTGAGAAGGCCAGTTTTGCTTAGTGGTTAAGGCATCACGCTAGAAACGGGAGATTATGAGTTCAAGTCCATCCTTAGACATGAAGCCAGAGGGATGACCTCGTATCAGTCACTTTCACTCAGCCCTAGGAAAGAGACAATGGCAAACCACTTCTGAAAAACTTTGCCAAGAAAACTAATACATCTTGATTTTCTGAAGCTCTCCAATTCATTATGTACTTACTGTATTTCAGCTATATCTCCTTCTCTTTTTCCTATCAAACAATTTAGTACAAACTAAAACTGTATAAACAAATGGCCATAGGTAGGAAAACAGGATCAATCGAAGATGTCAAATGATAAGACAAGTAATATGGTTTAGCATGCAGTTGAAATAGACAAGCGTATGATTTGTTTCCAGAGGGAGAATAGAACACAGAATGGCTATGTTGACTACATTTAATTTCTGATCATGCGCTGTTTAGATCCTTAGCAATTAATATCAAAACTATACATGCAGCTTGATCTCATTGTAAATTATGGCTTAGTGAATTGCCTAAATAGATCTTATTTTACAATCAAATAACCCATAGGTGTGAATCCAGTTTTTATTTGAGGAAAGGTAGAATAATAGATATCTGTTGCTATAAGTGAGAGTTCTGTGCAAAATACAGATTCGTTCTATCTAATTTTGTTTCCTTTCAAAGCAAAATAATTCATATTTAGCATCTGAACAAGATTGCAAAACATGAAACGCTGTCTTTAAAATAACTTTCAATTTCTGTTGCCTGATTGGTATTAAAAGTAAAAGGAGGGTCATAAATTTAGTTGGGGGGCAATGCCAAAATATCATGGCATATGTACCAAGGAAGATTTAATTTTAGGTTACAGTTATGTGAAATAAAAGGATATGGTACTAACAGTCATGTTCTTTATTTGATGGAAGTACTATTTTAAAGGGCTAATTAACAGCCTGAAACAAGTCTGAAAAAAATTAATCCCAGATGCTGGCTTTCATAAAAATTCTTGGCGAATCAGAAACAGATTACTTTTGTCCAAATTTTGTATCTCTTGGCCATAGATTTTTTTAATTTAAATGTAATTGTAATTTTTATTCTATGGCAAACTCAAAATCATTTAAAATAAAATTAGGTTTTTTAAAAAATACAGTAGTTGGAAAATAAAAATACCTTTTTTATTTTTGTTTTCTTTTCATAAGATTCAGCTAGTACTTTTTTCTTTTCCTGAGCTGTGTCTTTTGAGAATAAGTATTCAAATTCATTTGTATCACAAAGATTGGGTTCTTCTAATGAGTCCCAAAGAGTTGGCATTGACTGTTGACTAAAATAAGACAAAAAAAGAGAAACATTCATAAATTGTCTCTTAAAGGTACAGATGTTTTGCAGATGGGTTAGATCACTTTTGAAAGAAATGTTTCATATGAAGAATTGTATAATGCGCAACAGTTAATTCAATTGTTTGGGTATTGCATAGATTACAAATTGAAACTATATAAACAAATGGCCATGGGTAGGAAACCGGAATCATTCTAAAATGATAAGACAAATAATATGGTTTAGAATGTAGTTGAAATAAGACAAATGTATGAAGAATTGTATAATGCCCAACACTTATCTCAATTGTTTTGGTATCACATAGATTACAAATATTTTTTTAAATTATTTTATGAACAAGATTTTCTTCGCTCTTCTGTCCGCTGTATATACTTTTTTTTTTTGAAAGTTTGGAGTAGAAATGTAACTCTTCAAAATCTTTTATTATTATAGTTGACTATGTATATCTTGCTCAGTTTAGTGTGACACATGAATTTAATTGGAATAATTCGTACAAGACCACTATGTCTTCTTCAACAAATAGTGATTAAAGGAAAGCCTGATTTAGAAATTGATCTCAATATTTGAAACCAATCAATATTTCCCCACTATTGCTGTGGATGAAACAAGATGAAGAAAACATTACACAGGTCTGCGACTAAAATGCTGTTTGATTATTTTCATCTAATTCCCATGTATTTTGATGTACTGAAAACAAATAAAATATTGAAAAAACTCCTAGACGTCATGATTTGCCACAACATGCAAAATTCTCTTCAAATTTATCAAGTCCATTTAAGATATAAAATGCCAAAAAAACCTTAAAGGGTTTGTCCGAGTTATGTAAAAACAAAAATAGCACTGTAAATCTGATGGTCAGCAAAATATACACAAGCTAAGCAAGTTTTAAGTCTGTGCTTCTAATGGTAGAAGGGGTTAATCTTTCCTGAAAAGTCCAGTGGGAGGGAGACACACGGCAGATAGTAGCATCTCCAGACAGTGTCCAGCACTGTGACGTCTCATGTACAGGGCGGGGCATAACCTTTTCCTAGGGGGTCACAGCAAGATCGACAGCAGTTTACAACTTCTACCATTAGAAGCACAGACTTAAAACTTGCTTAACTTATGTATATATTGCTGACCATCAAATTTACAGTGCTATTTTTTTTTTTACATAACTCGGACAAACCCTTTAAGGTTTTTTTGGCATTTTATATCTTAAATGCACTTATGTGAATTAATTAATAGTAATTTGGACTTCAAATTTGGTTAAAACCCCATAATATAAAAAAATATGAAAAATTAAAAAAAATTGATAAATTTGAAGACAATTTTGC